GTCTTTGTGTGTTTATACATTTGTATATTTATATAGCAAGAATGAAGATCGAACGCCAGGAGTGAAAGTTGTGTTCTTGGTTACAGTTTGTTGACTGTTTAGGCCAGAGTTTCCACTTAGTCTTACCAAATACTGCAAGATATTTCATCTGAACTGGCATTTTGCTGCTAAAATTTCAAATGCTCTGTTGCTTTGTTAACTTGTACAGTTTATTTGCTCTATAGTTCTTTTTTTAACTCCTACTTTATTTGACTAAAATTATTTGTTAGATTTAGCCGTCTATGAGTAATTCTGCCGCTGTTAGCATGTGTCGAACGCTGTTTTTACCGGTAGCTTAATGTCAGTCTGTGTTACAAATAAAAATTGAAGGACGAAAAACACAACGGCAAAAATGAATGGAGGGAGGAGAAGGTAAATACTCGTAACAAGGGCACATCATGATAAGAATTTTTCAGCTTTGCTGAGTTTTTTTTTTTTTTTTTTTGGAAAAGTGTTACAGGCAAAACGTTTTTCACAAAAAATGAAAAAAGAGAAAAAAGGGGATTCAATATACACTGCACGAAGAATATTTTATTTTCATTTACTTTTTTATTTCATTTTTCATAAGAGGCTTAAGGATTGCTGTTTCCAAAGAATTTCGAACAAATAGCATTATAAATCGCAAAGTTAATTGAAAAAAAAAAAGTAGAAGATAAATAAATTAAAGAAGAATTAAGGAGAAAAACACAAATAGACGAAAGGAATACATTTTTTTTCTTCACCTTCTGATTCCAAAAGTTTTTGGCTGCAGCAAAAGAATTGTTTAGTTGTGATATGCTCAAAAAAGAAGTGGAAGAAGCAAAGTGTAGAGGAACTTAAGTCTTTAAAATTCAGTCAACAATCGACTGCGCATCCCTCTGATATAATTTCAACTGTGCTTCTTCCAACACCTCTCAAAATCCGAAATTGCGGGGTTAGACAGTCTTCAAAAAAGAAGTATAACAGAAAGCGTCTAAAAAATGTAAACAGACCACTCACGACAGCAACGGTAACGAATTCGTTTTTAGTACGGATTTGGCAATGATCAGTTTCAGTACGGCATTTAATCAATGTATTGCTTCATTGGTACAGCATCTAAAAAAGAGTGACAAATAGGAATTCGTGCAAAATTATGAAAAAATAATAGACGAGGAAATGAAATGGAAGAAAAACGTAAAGTCAGTTTTTTTCTTGTTAAAAATACGAGGGAAAAGAAGAAAGTTTTATATATTTAATTCAAGAGGGGAGACTGAAACCAAAATTGAATAGGTCGACATACGACATTGGACTAAACGTTTGAACTGAGGAGTACTTCTTTTTTCCTTTTTAGTTATTTTTTCCCTCTTACGAATAAACAAACTTTTATTGATGTCTACTATTTACAAAGTTGATTTCAAAGCTTTCAAATAGACTCAGTGTTCAATGACCATATGAAGCCAAGAAAAAAATTTGTGGAAATGAGAGAAAGAAAAGAGAGAGGGTGA